CCAGCTCTGAACCCCCCACAAGGGGGAGAAGCCGTCCTCCGACGCCAGCAGAGGCCGGAAGACAACCCAAAGCGCCCACCAACAGCGGGACCAAGCGAGAGGCAACAGAGCAAGCTGCTCCCCCAGCGCCCAGTCAACAGAGAAGGGAACAGAACCCCTTCAGAAAGAAAAAGTACACTACCGAAGTCATGAGGAGAGACTACGGGAATGAAACCACACTTCGCTGGAAGAGGAAGTGAGGGGAGACCTGATCACCACATACAAGATACCCAAGGGAATCGACAGGGTTGAGAAGGACAGGCTATGTAACACAAGGGGCACATGCACTAGGGGACACAGGTGGAAACTGAGTACCCAAAAGAGCCACAGATAGAATTAAAGTTTTTTTTTTTTTTTTTTTTTTTTTTTTTTTTTTTTTTTTTGAGTGTCAGAATGGGAACGGGAAAGCACTAAGAAGTAATGTGGCGACTCCTCACACAAGTAACGAGGCTGACCCCCATACAATGTCACATGTAGACATGACAGAGCCCAAGAGGCACAGGAACCGATACACCTGTTGACGGACGGTTGAGAGGCAGGACCAAGGAGCCAGAGCTCAACCCCCACAAGCACAACTAGGTGAGGACATATATTGTAAAAGCACAAGCCGCCGACTAGTGGCAAAGAGCACTACGCCGGCCAGGCAAAGAAGGCACAAAACTGCATCAAAAGGCCCACCTCGACAGCAAAACCACAAAGTCCCAGCACAACCACAACATGTGCCAAGACCCAAAAAGCTCAGTCTGCAAGCCAGGAAGACCCCGGAACCCCAAAAGGCAGAACCGGGTCACACGAGGAAACAAAGTCCCCTGAACCCACAAAAGGGGGCCCAAGAGGAAGAAACCTCCAGAACGAAACCAAGGAACCCAAAGGAACCCAGAATCGAACCAGGGGGAGCCCAAACCACCACATTTGCCGGCGGAGAACACCACTAAAAGGCAAAGCACAGACCCCAGCAGAACGCCCTGGGAAAACGGTCCCAACAGACCGAAAACCGAGGGGCAAGGTGTGGGAGCAAGCATACCAGCCAGGGGCACTGAGCCTAAACCCAGAGGCTCAGACCCAAAATCAACACCCAAACGTTCCCAGAGGAACAGGTAACGGCAAGAAAACACCAGAAAAACAAAGAAACGACAACAGGAGAACAAAAACCCTGCAAATTTTTTGAAAACTCACCAGAGACGCTCGCTCGCACACCCAGACGCATGTAAACAAACCGCAACGCCGCCCTGGTGGCCACGCCGTGAAACCGGCAGACGAAAATGGCCGCCAGCAGGGGCTGTGACTGACGCTTAATACACAAAAACACGCCAGCAAATGTGGGAAGCTAGCAGACTGGAAGGGCGAAAAACGCCGCCCAACAGCAGAAAAACCCCTGAAGAGGCAAAACCGCCCCAGAACTGCTAGCAGGCAACCCCAACAGCCCCGGGAACCAACAACAGAGGCCCCGGGGCAGAGCCGTCCTCCAAGCCCTCCGCCCTTAAAGAAAAGCAAGAGCCCATGGGAAAGGCAACAAGAAAGGGCCGCTGGTAAGACCCAGAAGCCTTGGCAGGAGGCACAGGCTCAAACCTCCGTCCCCAACCCGAACGGGGCATCCCCCGAAAACCGCCCGAGTCTCTGCCGCAACTGAACCCCGCCCCGACCCCGAAACCCGCAGACGGTCCGGAGCCGGGAACATGGAGAGAAAGGGGCGAGCAGCACCTAACCAAACGGGGCGGCCACGGGCATTCGAGTGGGAAACCAACCTAGCATGTTGCAGCAACCTAACCTAGCTTGCAACACGGATGCCGCCTGTACTCTGAACAGTAATAACATCAGGAGAGTACTGGAGAACAAGCAGAGAATCACTCGCAAGACTCCGGGTCAAGGTGTCAGTGACCCAACAGGCAGCATGACGGAGGTAAAAATGGCGACTGTCACCCGGAGACAAGGGAACAGCAACCAACGAACCCGTTCAAGACGGGTAGGAACCCGGAAGACACATTCAATGGTCCCCCGAGCCCAGACAGGGGTTTCCAGGGCCCGTAGGGTAACAACTACGGGAAGCCCGGGCAAGGTGTTGCTAACCGGTTAAGAAACCCAAACATAACAAGAGGGTAGATTATAGCACTGAAAACCCCTGAGACGTGTACAAGCACGGGGGCCTAGCAGAGGGCCGCCAAACACTACCAGTGGAACTATAACCACCTTAGGCAGACCCCCACCAGGCAAGAAAATGAAAAACAAAAGAAAAACCCCGCAAAAGTACACCGTCTCCAGAGGCAACAGAAACCGGCCGCCGCTTAGGTGGCAGGCTGCGCAACACCTTGACGCCCTAACCAGCACAATACCAATCCCTACCCAGGGCCAAACAAGGGCCCCAAGCCCCAGCTGGCCCCAAGGGCGAGGCAAATGCCGAGCAGCAAGAACCTCTACGGGAATGGTTCCCGAACGCCCCAGGGAAGATAACCCTGTAACGCAAGGGCAGTACTCACAGGGCGCTTAGGGAAGTCAGCCACTAAGCACATGCAGCCCCGGCACTGATGAAGTACTCCTGGCCACCGCACACCACAACACACGGCAGTGAACGCCACACAAGGCAAACACCGCCTAGGAAACTGAGGCCAGAGAAGCGTCAATCCCGGTTGACATTAGCGAACGAACTGAAGCTTGGCAGCCGGCGCGGTAGGTCCGGGGCTCCCCCCTCCCCCTCCCGGGGTGGGGAGGGCTGCGCGGACGATCGGCGCGGCAGTAAAGTGTGATGTTTGCTTGTTTGCTTGTTTCCTTGGGATTGTAGGGAGTTTTCTACCTCTCTGTTCGGTTTTTGTTGTAGTTTCTTACCATGTGGGGTTTGTTTTGTTACGCCTACCTTTCTGGGTGCTTAACCCCGGTCGATGGCAGATAAGGAAAACCCCCAACCATATGGGGTTTTCCAGGGCCATTGCTCCCTGAAACCTCTCTGAAGGGGCCAGGTTCTGGCGCTGGTCCCTGGTAGGTCTGAACTCCTTAGCTAATGTCCCGGTCTAACATAACACACATTAGCCCGATAAGCTCCAGGGAGCCGTAGGGGCTCCCCACAGAAAATTAGAGAAAATATATTAATTCAGGAAAACTTGGCTTATTAGGCAAATTTGGTCTTGCATATTAGGCTGAGAAGTGCGTTCTGGCTACTAGGTACGACATATATATATATATATATATATATATATATATATATATATATATATATATATATATATATATATATATATATATGTCGTACCTAGTAGCCAGAATGCACTTCTCAGCCTACTATACATGGCCCGATTTGCCTAATAAGCCAAGTTTTCCTGAATTAATATATTTTCTCTAATTTTTTTCTTGTGAAATGATAAAGCTAGCCATTTCATTATGTATGAGGTCAATTTTTTTTTATTGGAGTTAAAATTAACGTAGATATATGACCGAACCTAACCAACCCTACCTAACCTAACCTAATCTATCTTTATAGGCTAGGTTAGGTTAGGTAGCCGAAAAAGTTAGGTTAGGTTAGGTTAGGTAGGTTAGGTAGTCGAAAAACAATTATTTCATGAAAACTTGGCTCATTAGGCAAATTGGGACTTGCATAGTAGGCTGAGAAGTGCGTTCTGGCTACTAGGTACGACATATATATATATATATATATATATATATATATATATATATATATATATATATATATGTCGTACCTAGTAGCCAGAACGCACTTGCGGGCCTACTATGCAAGGCCCGATTTGCCTAATAAGCCAAGTTTTCATGAATTAATGTTTTTTCGACTACCTAACCTACCTAACCTAACCTAACCTAACTTTTTTAGCTACCTATCCGAACCTAACCTATAAAGATAGGTTAGGTTAGGTTAGGTAGGGTTGGTTATGTTCGGTCATATATGTATGTTAATTTTAACTCCAATAAAAAAAAATTGACATCATACATAATGAAATGGCTAGCTTTATCATTTCACAAGAAAAAAATTAGAGAAAATATATTAATTCAGGAAAACTTTGCTTATTAGGCAAATCGGGCCTTGCATAGTAGGCTGAGAAGTGCGTTCTGGCTACTAGGTACGACATATATATATATATATATATATATATATATATATATATATATATATATATATATATATATATATATATATACTATACTATACTATACACACTTATATATATATTATATACTATACAAACTATATACACTTTGGGTGTATATAGAAACACTGAGATAAGGACTGTTCATGAACAAATAGCCTGGATGTGTCACAATGGAAAGATTGATGGTATTCTGGAGAGATATAAGAATTTTGCACAAAGACTGTAACTTTGTTGATTTGTCTGAGTTTGTATTGTTGCAAATTGTGTGTGTACCTACTCATAAAGGTGTGCGTGTGTGTGTGTCTGCAGTAACGTACTGCATGTGTAAATGAAGAAATGTATATATTTATCACTCAGAATGTTCAGTAATATGTTGATTGATTGTGATGTGTCTATATATATTGTATATGTATGAACACGTTGTACTGAACGTGGTGAGAATAGCTTGAACTACCTTATCCCTTTGTGTGTATTTATACCTCAATAAACTTATTTCAAATTGAATTTGAATTCAAGTTATATACTAGTGAGGAACGATGACCAAACCACACATCAGAAGATGGAGAAACGACACACCACTTGATAATGGTCCAGGATGGACTGAAACATCATCGTTTCTCCATCTTCTGATGTGTGGTTTGGTCATCATATTTTCAGCCATGTTATTGTGACTAATCATCTGCAACAGTGAGAAATATACAACATCAAAATAAATTATTAATATTACTACAGTACTTTTATTTATAACAAGTCATATAAATTGTTACAAATATGGCTGAACCGAGCTATACAGCTTCCTAGCTTAGTTCTTTTGATAATATATTACAGTGCCTTTACTGTACTTTAGAAGAGTAAATATACCATACTTACATAGTAAGGTTTGTTGACTTGTGATGCCAGTCCCAGCTGGTAGAGGCACAAATTTCCATCACCGTCAATGACTCCAAACTTGTTACCTTGCTGGTTGAACTGCACGCGAGCCACCTTGGCAAAGGTGCCACCCGGACGAGGTCGTGCGACCACTGCACTGTGATGCCACTCTCGGACAACCACAGAACCATCCTGACACCCTAGCAGGTCTAGATGATGAAAAGATATTGCAAGATAAGATAGTCAAAATTACAAAATGACCCTTTACAAATGTTGCTAAGGTCAAATGTGCAATATTGAGTGACAGGATAAAGATGTCTATTCTCATTGTGGCAAAGCCAATTATTTACCAAACAGCATGAATCCAAAGTGCCTAAATGATGGCTAGAACAGTCCAGAGCAACTTAAGAGTGCTTAGACAAACAAGAATAATGTATAGGGTGCCAAAATATACAAATGGTACACAGCCATTGAGAGTAACTAAAGCTGTTGATGGAGGACTAATAATAGCACAATGTAAGATATATAAAGTATCCGTCCAGCCCATTACTCATTACGTCTTGTGGCCAAGATGGGAGATACTTGTGGAATGGTTGATCACAGTAAAGCAGCTTACAGTGTTCAATGGTGGCGGTGTAACTATCAAGAGTAACCTGACCAATGAAATCACAAGTATGTGACCTAAGTATCAAAAGGAGGCAACAAGAAGTATCTGATGTCTATGAGAAAATGTTGAGATCATACAATGGCCTCAATACCTGCCTGGGGAAATCTAGGGACGTGGATTTGATCCATGTTATCCCATTGTACAGACTCAATATTTTCTCAAAGAGTAACGAACTACTTTTGAACGTGGTAGTAACTCATATTGCTTTTTGAAAGAGAGGAATTTAAAATATACTACAACAAACAACATTTACTTAGTAATAGAACACATGAGTACTTAACTTAAGGAGTCACTTGTGTGTTCAAACATTTCATTCAGTATTAAGACAAGCAAGTCATTTACATAACTGGCAAGTTACTTATATAGTAAACAACAGTTACACAAAAGACAAGTTACACAACAGGCAAGAGTTACACAACAGGCAAGAGTTACACAAAAGGCAAGAGTTACACAAAATGCAAAAGTTACACAACAGGCAAGAGTTACACAACAGGCAAGTTACTTATACAACAGGCAAAAGTTGCTTATACAACAGGCAAAAATTAATTACACAACAGACAACAATTAATTTCACAACAGGCAAGAGTTACACAACAAGTAAGCATTAATTACACAACAAGCTACAGTAGTTACTTACACAGAGGTAGGACCGGGTGAGACGTCATGCGACGGGTTCCTTCTACCCGATGGCTCAGCAACTGGGAAATACAAACAAGTTTCAATTGACAATCACCTATAAGGCCACCATGCTGCTAAATGAGTTTCTAATACAGTGCTCTTGATGAGCCCTTGTACATTAGACACATACAACAAAATTACAAATAGAAGACACAGTGCATGATGCATACAAAGGAAATTTGCCTTGCACAAAGGATAGAGTTTCTTGGGGACAAACTTTTACTCTCATACAGTACATATAAGCACATACAGAGGCTCTTAGTTTATAACAAAGTTACAGCTATGTTAGAGGAAAGTTGCCAATCACTTTCCGCTAACCTTAGCTATACGCTACTAAATTATTTTTGCAAGTGAACTGTGTGCATGAGGCAATGACTTTATAGCACAGTACTGTATCTACAATAATACATGTAGAGAACTGTAATATTAAAACAAAATACATACATTAAAAGTAATGAGGTATGCACTGCATTTACTTTGCTACTACACTTTGTGCATGACACTAACTTCTGAATAGATTATCATTCAACTATAAAAAAAAATAAAAAAATGCAAAATAAAATGAAGGAAAGCAATGCATGAAGATGAGATATTCTTAAAACAATTCTTTATCTACCCCACATATTTTGGGGCCATATAGTACAGCTCAAAAATAAAAAAAAAAAATAAGAAATGCAGTTCAACATCAATAATTCACTGTACTGACTGTAGCTTTTCTGAAGACAACACCAGTCCTTGTGTGCCACCTTCATTACTGGTACGGCTTAAATCAAATTATTTGATGGTTACCAAAAGATGAAAAATGTTTATGAGGAAAATAGCAGGAAGTAAAGGTAATGACTATACATGAAGTCCCGAGAGTGATCAATTTTATGTAATAGAATGCTTATTACCGAATACAAGGTCTTAAATGGGCCATTTAAAAAAAAAAAAAGAAAAGAAAATGTAATGAAAAGTGCTGAATGTAATGAAATGCACCTTTCTATGTGGTTCCTCAGTAGCTGCATGGAGCTTAAGGCACGAGCGTGGATCTCATCCTGTAACTACACTTAGATAATTACAGATTCAAGCTAAGGAAACAAAGGCGCCGGAAAAACATTAGAAAGTTTTCTTTTGCAAACAGAGTAATACACAGCTGGAACAAGCTATGTGAGAAGGTGGTTGAAGCCAAAACCGTCAGTAGTTTCAAAGTATTATACGACAAAGAGTGCTGGGAAGACGGGACATCATGAGCTTAGCTCTCATCCTGTAACTACACTTAGGTAAGTACTAGTATTGTAGGACCTGCCAACTGTACCAGTTCCCCAGAGACTAAATAAAATTTGAAACAAGACATTTGATAATTGGCAACAAGTGAACAGCTCTTTATATGATTCACTTAACTGTCACTAAATGGCCGACCAGTTGGCTCTGACTAATGATCCACCACTCCCACATTCTCAAGCAGGCTTGGTCAACCCTAAATCCTAAATGGAAGAATAGCACATCAGGGTGGGAATGGGGAGCTACCAAGGAATCACCCAGAAAGGGGATTTTCATTACATTCAATGCTTTGTTTCTGTAGTTACAGCAAAGTAGCTATTTGTATGCAATACTGTATTTGATCATAAATAATGGCAACATTTTCATCTTGAGGTAAAAGGTTAAGGTTATCTTGAGATAATTTCGGGGCTTAACGTCTTCGCGGCCCGGTCCTCGACCAGACCTCCTTTTTGCTACACTCCCCCAGGAAGCAGCCCGTAGCAACTGTCTAACTCCTGGGTACCTATTTACTGCTAGGTGAATAGACCCATCAGGGTGAAAGAAACTATGTCCATTTGTTTCCGCCTCCACCGGGGATCGAACCCGGAACCTCAGGAGTACGAATCCCGAGCTCTGTCCATTCAGCTGTCAAACCCCAGGCCCCAGCTGTCAAGGTCTTCAGTAGACGTATACCATCTGGAGACAATGAGTCACAATACCTGGACAAACCAAAATTCGTTGCTTCCTTTATTTTCAGGCTTGTGGGTTAGGTGTAGAATACAACCTGGAGTGTCTCGCAATCGTTCATCACTCTATGTAAAGTATCTTGTCATTCTGTTCACTGGCCTTTTCCTCAGTAGTACACAACTGTGGCCTCTAGTTCTGCTTATTTGTTATTTAAATATCTCAGTCGTGTGTGTACTCGCCCAGCCATGTTTGCAGGTGTTGGGCATTTTAATCATTATGTTGTTTGCTGTGACACATCTCCAACCCAAAGGGCTTTACTATATTTACTATACATGTACTGTACTATATTTATTTACTATATAGAGCTCGTGTATGGAGTTTGTCTCATTAACGTCCACTCCTAAACTACCCTCATACTAAAGGGTATGAGGGGCCACACTAGCTACAAAGAGCCACTGAGGTCTCTGCAGAAACCGGCATTTCATTATGTTCAATGCTCCTCCTGATTCTTTTTTAAGTCAAATCTTTCTTATTTAATTATAAAATTAATATAGCTCCAGATGGATTCCAATTATACGAGTTTGGGATGATTGAAGAGTACAGTATTTGCTACACTAAAGAGATCCTGAATCTGCGTGCGAACAGAATGTAAATAACACTGTAAATCAATTCTAAATGAAAGCCGCACAACTGAAGATGAAATATCACTGGACTGGTTTCTTCTGGACAAAATCAGAATGACTACAACTTAATAATTGCACTACCTGTACTTGGAAAATGGATAATGAAACATGGAAGTGTTCAAATCATGGAAGCAGGAATGTGTTCAGCTAAAGACAATGTATTAGGTAAAGATTACGTTATAATTATTGTATTATAAAACAAGAGCTTTCTCAAGGAGAAAAACATTGGTAATAATGGTGCTTTCAGCTTGGCAACATTCATGCTTCATCTTAAATTGCAAATACATGTACTGTACTGTATTAGCCAACATGTAGGATGCATTGTTATACCATTAAGTGTAAGCTGGCTGTCACAGCTTGCGTGAAAGATCATGGTAATAGGGAATCTGTGCTCTAAAGTTACTTTCAATAAATATATGACTAAACATACTAAAATTGTTTTTTACACAAAATATCCTTGAAAATAGGTGTGTTAAGTAGAAATGCATCTTATATGCTTAAAAATACAGTACTTCTCACAAATTTACAATTTTGTATAATTGTACAAATACACAAATGTGATACGACCCAGAAAGCACAAGGTCAGGCTGCACACACACATACACACACACAAAGGATGCATTAAAACATACAAAAGCATTTGCAACAAAAAATCTAAATTAGTTTCTAACAGAAAATGCATACAGAACAACATTTCATACTACATTATTCTTTTCAATACAAGTGTTAAGATCCAGATGCAGTCTGTGTTAACTGAACACCAGATACAACAATACTGTAGTTTTACAAGCAGATAATCCAAGACACGGGTAATAAAACAGGAATCCATTGTCCAGTGAAGCAAAACATTATGTAACAAAAATACATCACAGGATGGTTACATAAAAACTACATTCTATACACATACATGCATTTCAACTGGCCGAGTTTTCCTTAGCAGTAAAACTAATGCTGTAATGTGAATATCAAGCTCTTGCATATTGACAAAAATTGTAATTTAATTAAAGAAATTTAGTAATTCTAATATTACAGAATATATCAGGACTGATATAAAAATACTCCTTCATTTGAAAGCATACGCACAATACACTGATCACTCACCAATTCAGACCTCAGTAACTCAAATCCCGGCGTAACTCAACCAAAATGGCAAGAGTGTTTTGACAACCATCTGACTCGGACAAAATTTGAATTATTGCGCTTAGCTTTTGGGTTAGTAAACAATGTGCAAAAGCCTATTTTTATCAATACACAAATACATTACATCATTGCATTAAAAACAAAATTTCCAACAAAATTCATCAAATGCAATATGTTACATCAATTATTGACTGTTTGAAAGTATGTACAGTAACTGTATTCCTATGCTAAAATAATTGGATCCAAACTGATTAAGCTAACTTTTAGTTAACAAGATGTATTGGAGCAGCAACAATTCACCCGAAGGCCGCTAACAGATGAGCGTCGTGGTAAGATGACTGACAAAATTGTTATGAACTAACACACAATGGTTTGGTTTTAGTTTGTTCTGAAGTTGTTACAACGGCTTTATGATGGTTCAGGACACACCAAAATGTGTATCTTATTTCTTGGTACTCTTTCAAAGGGGTTTTGTGTGTGACAGAGCTATTGGTATATTGTTTTTTGCACCTGCTTTACTACCTCCTTTGTGAAGTGGCAGGATCTTCGCTGTTTTAAGTATGCAGGGATAACACCAGTACAGTATCTAGGTACTATCTTCAAAAGATCAAAAGATGTTTAGGACTTGTGATAGTGTTTTTTTTTTTTTTTCCAATTCTTGATGAATGTAGAATTCCAGGAGTTTGGGTCTGGTGCAGAGTGCAAGAGCACGCTGTCTGTGGCTACTTCAAAGTTGAGTGGTGGTTAGGGTGACATCTGATGTATGGCTTGGTGGTGGTGCCACATTCATTAAGAATTCATTTGGATTATTGATCTGCAATGTATTCAGGAGTTTGCTAAAAACAAAATCGTACTGTAACTTCAGTATGTATTTCACTCATGTCTTTGCTGTCATTTGTGAAGGGTCCATCACCTTTGCACAAGGACCCAATACTAAATGTATTCTTTGTTTTAGATTTTACATAGACCAAGTATTCCAGATTCCTCTCTATTTTACTTATGCTTCATAAACTCTTTGCCTCTCCTGGATTTTATATGATTCTTGCAACTTTGTCAATAATTTATATTTCTCTTCATAACCACCTTTGGATAGTGGGGAGTGTTTGAGATGTTCTAAGATTTCCTTTTGCCACCTATAAAGGGAATGCCATTATTGCTCCAGTTTGCATCTCCTCTTTCTCTTTAGTGGTATGTGACATGCACATATTTACAGTGTTAGTGTGCCTATTTTCTCAAGCACTGGTTAAAGTTTTCATTATCTAGCCATCTTTCCCAGCATATCTATGTGAGGGCTTGATTTATTTGGTCCCAGTTAATCAGTTTCTTATTGAAATTGAATTTGTTGAATTATTCTCTTGGAGTTAAGGACAAGTCTATTGCCCATGCATGTCTGAACTTCAATTAGGTTGTGATCTGAGTAACATGTCTTTGTAACATTGTTCCTAATTAGTTCATCATTGTTTGTAAAAATAAGATGAAGGGCATTTTCTTTCCTAGTTGGTTCTACTATTTGTTGGGTTAAAGCAAATTTGTCACACATCTACAAGAGGTCATTGTGTGTGACTGTTCATTCAGACTGCTTTCTGGGATTCTTTCTGGCATAACTATCTGCCACATTTTTCCATTTTAGGTGCTGTAATTTGAAGTTACCAAACAAGAAGATGTTAGGGGCAGAGTTTGTGAGGCTTTCTAAGCAGTATTTTATTTTTATATGTTGGTCTTTAAACTGCTGAGAATTTGCATCTGGTGATTAGTATACTGTACCAAGACAATTCCAACATTTAGAATTTCTATTTTGATTATCAGCACTTCTACCATATTATTTGTAGTGTTTGGCAGTTCTGTGCAGATGAATGTGTTCTTTGATGTACAAGCTGACCCCACCCTGTAGCCTATGTTTTCTATCACATCTGAAAAAATTGGATTCTGGTATCCATAATGTTCTGTCATAAAAGTCTTTTGTGAGAGTTTCAGTCAAAGCTGCGAACACAGCATTCCCCTCATTAAGGAGACCAGTTATAAAGGGGATTTGTTTATTTTGCATACTTTGATGCCTTGTATGTTGGCAAATAAGAAAGATGTTATTGCATTTGGGGAAATGCTGTGCATTTTACTTGGTGTTAATATCCGTGGTTCTGGTTGGGATGCCACATTGTGTGTGACCTGTTTAGCATTTGACTGAGTTGATGGTAGTTTGGACATTTCATATCATTCTCTTCCTCTTTCTCTTACTAAAAACCTCTTCCTGGCATGTATGGGTGTTGCTGTATTCATAAAGGCATTCTTTTTATTTTATTTGCTTAGTTTCTTTGATATGAAATGCTGGGCAATCTCTTAAAATATTCCTTCTTGTTTAGTGAATATTTACAGAGTTGTGGGTGGAAAAATTTGCAATCTTCAGTGTGACATGAACCTCTATTTAGGATATTTCTACAGTTTGTCAGGTGTTTATATTTTACATGTACCATTGGTTTTTTCCTGATAGCCCATATTTACATACACCCCATGCATACTATTGGCAGCTTTCCAGTTCATGCTTTGTTGGATTGTGTTGGTGTATCCGAAGTATACTTTGTTTTGGCTCTTAGCTGAAAGACATAGGTCGAGGTCTTTCAGATTCCCGTTGTTGCTCGATCACTTCCTTAACAGCTTTTACTATTACTCTCTCTCTCTCTGGCCACTTGTGCATGGGTTAGCTGTATATTCTTCTTGCACTTTGCTGTATCCTGTGTAACTTCCTCCTCTTTTCTGACGAAACTCTCTTTTACTGTTGAATTTCCTTGCCTAACATATTGTATTCACTAACATCTGGATTTTATTTAACTTCAAGAGCTATTTTTAATACTTTTACTTCTCCTCCTCCAGGACTTCTTTAGTTTCCCAGTGATTCGTTTTCTTTGTATAATGCCCTTATTTAACCTTCCAGGGCTGTAACTTTGTTTCTCAAGTTTTCATTACTGCTCCTCAAATTCTAATTTAATTCACATGATTCATTACAATGATCAGTTTTTGCCAACCTGTTGCAAAAACCACTCCTGCTAATATTTTCCTCATCAAAACCATCAAAATTAATCTCTTCCCTCCTCATCTTGAGGAAGTTTTGTCCATCCTCATGCTGGCGGCCATCTTTGTTTTGGTCACCATGTGCTGCCACACTATTTCTGCTTTGTCGCCGTAACCTTTTTTGGAGGGTGAATACAAGGGTGGGAGCATGAGTACCTGGTATTCACATGGGTGGGAGCATGAGTACCTGGCATTCACATGGGTGGGAGCATGAGTACCTGGTATTCACATAGGTGGGAGCATGAGTACCTGGTATTCACATGGGTGGGAGCATGAGTTCCTGGTATTCACATGGGTGGGAGCATGAGTTCCTGGCATTCACATGGGTGGGAGCATGAGTACCTGGCATTTACATGGGTGGGAGCACGTTATCTTGAGGTTATCTCGAGATGATTTTGGGGCTTTAGTGTCCTCCTCAACCAGGCCTCCACCCCCAGGAAGCAGCCCGTGACAGCTGACTAACATCCAGGTACCTATTTTACTGCTAGGTAACAGGGGCATAGGGTGAAAGAAACTCTGCCCATTGTTTCTCACCGGCGCCCGGGATCGAACCCGGGACCACAGGATCACAAGTCCAGTGTGCTGTCCGCTCGGCCGACCGGCTCCCCGTGTATCTGGCATTCACATGGATAAGAGCACCCTATTAAGCATATAATTAAATGCCATTCTATAGTTGGCCTGTATTGTATAGGAGCTTTCTGGTGGCAATTGCTCATTATTTATCCTATTTCAAAAACTTTTTTTCGTGGATTTCCCCATTTTCTCCATGAGGTCTATTCCGAGTCTTCCCCAGCTCCACTACGGATTTTCCATTAGGTCTATTCTAACTCATCACTGGCTGTAGTGTGTATTCTTCAATAGGTCTATTCGTGTGTTTCTACTTCAGCAGTAGGTATTCTGCAAGAGGTGTGCTCTTACTCTTCCTCTGCTGCGGCACATGATATTTTGATTACAGTGTGCATGTCATTACCTAAATGTAATTACAAGATGAAAGCTATGCTTGTGGTGTCCCATTTTCCCCTATAGTCTTTGTCATGTAGCACTTTAAACCAACTTCCAACTTAACATGCTCTAAACGTGCTTGTAAGATAACTTTCGTATATTTGGCACCAGTGTTTCCTTGTGTACGTAGTTTTGTACATGTGTGCATGCATCTATAGTCTAAGAACACTAGAATATTCTTAGTCCAGTCTATCTTCTGTAATATTATTGCAAAATAAACAAAAACATTCATAAGGAGTAACATTTATTGTTAATGGTAAAAACATCATTCCTCACCGGCTTCAGGCAATGACGACTGCGTTCCCATACGAAGCGACAGAAACGAAGGTTGTTGGAGCCAGGGAAATGGACCCCTTTAAACTCCTTCAACTGAGCAGCATTAATGAGACAAGACTCCTCAGTACACAGTAAGACAAGTGTTCCACATTATGTGAAATTTATATATACAGTACATTAACTACAGGAACAAGTAGGAAAGCAAAGTATTTTAACAGACCTTGTTTAAGGTAATACATACAGCAATACTGAACTTGCAACTTTTGCATTAATATACAAAATTATCAAGTGCAATTTTATATAATTGTAATAAAACAAAAACAAGATTACATGTTCTCAACTATTCCATTTTGATTCTCCCTAAAACAAGTTGCATTGGACAGGATCATGATTAGGTAGGGTGACATTTTGCACTGGAAGAACGTATGTGTCTTCAAACATCCTCGGTGGGTCATACGTGCACTGTTAAAATTCACTGGAGGAAAGCTTGATCCAGTGCAGAGTGACTACAGAAAGTTCATTCTTCTAGCTTTTCTTGGCATCACAAGAACTCGTGGCTTGTGTCTCTGGATCTTTATAATGCCTGTTGCCATATGCCAATGCATTCTTAGTTTCAAGGACTGGTTCAGGTTTCTGGCGAGTTGCATTTAACCATTTTGGGCTATACCACATGGGCTACATCTGACTCCCAGAACATTTTCCAGTCACACTAGGGTGATCCTCCAAGAGAGGACCTCCTAGGGACTTGACCAATCTCAACTCAATTACCCACACACCTGTACTCTCAGTCTGCTATGAGCAGCAGGATCTAATACCTGTGCCAGCATGAGGCTAATGTCACACACACCTCATGAACACCATATATAAAAAAACATTTTATCTCTTATTTTTGTTAGGTTATGTTAAGTTCGGTCAGGTTAGAATGGGTTAGGTTAGGTTTAGAGACTAGCGATGACATTGGTACATACCTGTCACGAATATTAGACTTTACTTACTCTTAGTATTTATGGATGAATTTTCTAGTCATTCTGGGGAAGGACTGAACTATTTTCTATTGTCCCCCAAACACCAGTACAACCTGACAGAGCTGTTTTGAAAAGATTCCTAATGCACTGTTACAGAATATCAACTTATCATAACTGCCATGAATCTGTACTAAAGCATCATCACTCATCTTGCCCTAGGGTTCATCCAAGGATTTTTTACAGTAATGAGTTTATAATATTTACTCAAATCTTGAATGTTTCAACTTAAAGATGTGCATCAGTAATACTTTGCAATCCTTTTGATAAACATCTTATCACGTATCATACAACTATTGAGAGCAAAGATACTCTACTGGCTCTAAAGGAATATGTTTTTCTAGAAGAAAGTTGAATAGTTTAGTGCAACAGAATAAAAGGTATATACTGTAAATAATGCAACCTCAAAATTCAAATGCACAGAATCTTTTAACACCAACACCGTACACACCTGGGCAAGTACACACACACACGAATGCCTGAATATATGCTCATGCACAATAACACACATAAACACCTTTACAGTATGTACACTCATGAAAGTACTCACACACAAATATGTAGAATATTTCAAGGATAACATAATGAAGACAAAAGCAGTTTGGTTTCAGACTGGCAAAATCTAGCATATTAACTCAACTGAACTTCTATGACACAATCACTGAAATAACCCAAGAATTAGAATGTTAGGATAGTGTCTTCTCCTGTATTTTAGAAATGCCTCTGACAGTTTCCCACAGAAGATTGACTTGGAAATTAGAAAATACTGAAAGTGTGAAGGGTAGAATATTAAAATGCATGGGAGATTTAGAGTCAGAAGTGGAAATGCAGAGAGAAATTGGAGGAAACTTGTCAATGTGGAGGGGGGAGTCACTACTGGAATCTCACCAAGATCAGTATTGGTCCCAATAATAGTCTGAGTGCAGTACAGTACAGTGCCATGCAGTTAAAATTTATGCAATTTTTTAAATATATCCTGTTTTCCCAAAACATATTCTTAACAAATTGTTATGCAGTTTGCTGGTTTGTTTAATAATAGTTTAATAATTTTGTTTGGGAGTTTTGTCCACTCGTTCAGCTTTCGGTAGCAATATTTTCACCAGAATAGGGGTTTGTTTTGGGGCGCTTACTTTTCTGGGTGCCTATCTTGGTCGATGGCAGACATAGAATGCTCCCAACCACACAAGGGTTTCTATAGGCCATTGCTCCTCGTGCCTCTCTGAGGGGGCCAGGTTCTGGCTCGTGGTCCCTGGCAGGCAAGAACTCCTAGCACTTTGACTGATGCCAGAAAGTTAAACATATCCATTCAGCCTAAATAGCTCCGGGGAGCCGACGGCCCCCCCCCCCCCCCAGAAAACCAGCGTTGAATGTAATGAAACGCCATTTTCTGGGCAAGTCCCGGAGGCTCTCTGGAGCTATTGGACTGATATTAGCTATATTAGACTGGGGCTTCAGTTATGTGGAGTTATCATGCCTATCTGGAACCACGAGCCAGAACCTGGTTCCCTGAGAGAGGAGAAGGGAGCAATAGCTTATGAAAACTCCACACTTTAAGAATATATTCATGCCTGCCATCAACCGGGGTTAGGCACCCAGAAAGGTAGATGCCCCAAAACAGACCCCAACTGGTAGAAAAGCGCAACCCAAGACCGAACAGAGCCCAAGAACTCCCCCCCTCCCCCCCCAAGAAAAACAAGGTAACAAGCAAAACATTGAAATTTTTTATAAAGAATTCAGGTGCGATTGTCACTAGGCAGGAGACACTGGTAAACTGAGGCGTGGTCGCCATGCTACCATGGGCTAGGTCGGCCATACGCATATTAACAACTTCGTTTCCCAAGGCAAAGTTCGTAACCGATTCGGATTTTACGAAGAAATTGGGCTCGCAACCCGAAAAGTTTGTAAAAAGGGGCATTTGTAAGCCGAGGTGTCACTGTTTTGGGAGACACCTTGACCACACCAATGTGAAGAGGTCCACCTCCGGGGAGGGGGCTGAAAGTATGGCAAAGCCAACTGAAGGAGTTGACTTCGACCGTCCATTCTGTGGACAGGGGGAATGAACCGAGACAGGCCGTCCAGTTCACCAGGAACCCAAACCCGGTGAGCTGGGAAAGAACCAAACGCCTAGCGAGCAGACAGGTAGACTGGCTGGGAGTCCATACAAACTACGTCAAGGTAAGCCAAGACCCAAACACCTAGTAGACGCAGATGGACCACCAAGACCTGGGTAAAACATGTGAAAACGCGAGGTGCCAGATTCAGCCCGGAGTGAAGGTAACAAAAGTGGCAAGCTTATTGTCCCACCACAAAACCTAACCAGTCCCTGAACCCCGGATGAATGGGAACGTGCCAATATGTGTCTTGGCGGTCCAGAGACATCATGCATGAACCCGGCTCCTCTGGAGAGGACGGCTCCGGAGGAAGCACCAGCACAAGCTGGCATCAAGGGCCCTCCTCGACCTGCAGAGACCTGAATCCTGGCATGACTTTTCTGGGAAGCATGAGAATGCCCACACTGGATCACTAACAAATCAGAAAGAGGATGGCATCTAGCAGAAGCTGCCTGCAAAAACTGAGAAACAACCGAGTCCAAAATCAATAATGGACAGAAAGACGACGAAAACATAAGAGTCAGGGCCCAGGCCGAATCAATAGAAAGTGAGGACGGCTTGCCAACATGCGAGGCGAGAGACAAAAAACAGACACCGCCTCCTGGAGGATACAATACCGTAGTAAGCTCCCACCAATCCAGTGTGGGGGAATGAAAAAAGCTGTGCCATGCCCCAAGCGAAAAGAATGGGCAGTCTGCAAGGCAGAAAAATGCCAAAACCTCATAACGCATTTTTCCAATCTGGGAAAAGAGGCATCAAACTCAAAAAAAAGAGACATCACAGAGGCAAAGTCCAGGTCTCACAGGAGGTACGCACCATAGCCTTCTTGAACCTTCGCAGGGTAAATCTGAGAGGTGGAAAACCTCGGGAAGGACGAAGCTGCAGAACCCAAAGGAACCCAGATATGAACCCAGCGAAGAGCCGAACCCACATCAAACTCGTACAGGGAAGGGGAATATGAAAACCCCGAACCCCTACAACAGTAAACCCCTCCCCGAAGGCATCAAGACCCAGGCAGGATCGAACGGGGACCAAGCGCTCCAGGCCAACTCCTTCCCAGCCCCAGAAACCTCAAAACCAGGCTCTGGGGCAGAGTCGACCTCCATGCCCTGCACCCCTGAAGAAAAGGCGGAGTCCAGGGAAAAGGCATCAAAGAAGGGGGGTCTGCTGGTAAGACCCCAGAAGCCTCGGCTGGAGGATCAGGCTCAAAGGCCATCGACCCCGCATCAAATGGGGCAGCCCCCCAGAGCTGCCCAAGTCTCATTCCCAACTAAATCCCACCCTGGAGAATAGAACACGTTTCCGGTTCATCAACTGAAAATACAGTGCTGTTTGTATGTAATATACATGTGTGAAATCATGTTTTCATCTAAAGAAACCACCTGAAAATCTTTTTCAATAAATGTACAGTATGATGAAACATACCTGGATGGGGTTCTGGGAGTTTTTCTACTTCCCAAGCTTGGTCTGGGGCAAGGCTTAACTTGTGAGAGCTTGGTCCAATAGGCTGTTGTTTGGAGTGGCCCGTAGCTCCACATGTCCACCTGGTTGGTCCAGCACTACTTGCGGAAAACTTTCCAGCTTTTTCTTGAAAACTTCTAATGTTGCTTTGGCAATATTTCTTATACTGTACTTGCTTGGAGGATATTGAACTACCGCAGACCTCTGAAGTTCAGACAGTGTTCTCTGATTGTGCCTATGGCACCCTTGCTCTTCACTGTCTTTATTCTGCATTTCCTTCCATATCGTTCACTCCAGTATGTTGTTATTTTGCTGTACAAATTAGGGATCTGGCTCTCCAGTATTTTCTCTGTACTGTATATATAATTTGGTACCTTTCTTATCTCCATTCAAGTAAGTGCATTTTGAGAGCTTTGAGATGATCCTCATCTCAAAAGATTTGTCTCGTCTTTGAGACGAAACAAGATACAGGTACAATCAAGGATCTCAATAGTTCAGGTGCTTTATTGTTTCTATGTATACTGTATATGTTCATTGTATTCCAACAATTTCAC